AAATAGTTCAAATCGGGAGATTACCAAAGACATCAAAGCGACCATCACCACTTTTTGCGAGTCGTTGATCGGCGAGGGAAAGGGCAATCCATTCCATCCATATTTCAGCTCATACACGGGAATCATCCAATAATATCCGGTGAATTCGTTGCATTTCGTTCTATCGAATCCATGAATAGCTTGTGAGTGAGTTGTTGTGAAAGTGGCTTGAGTTGTCGAGAATAATAAAGAAGAAACAGTTGTCAAATTCATTGCTAAGAGCAAATTTAACGGTTTTCTGAAAAATTTTGCGTTGATTAATATGTTGTATCCGATTTGGATTGAACTCACCGCGGATATCCGATTTGGATTTCAATCCAAATCGGATATCCGCGGTGTTTACCCTATGTTACGTTGTTGTTTTACAGATGGAGTCACGCTTCTATGAGAAATTCAACAGTTTATTGAAGCGAAAAAAGACGAGTCAAATTCCGACAGCCGAAATCTACAAGCTGATGGTTGATAAAATTAAAAATTTTAACGATTAACAACACTGAGGACTTCAAAAATGAACTATCATGAAACCAACTTGCTGAAGCGATACACTCTTTCAATCGAAAACACGAAAGTCACGCTTTATCACGAAGACGAACGACGGAAAGCCGGTAGCGAACCAGAAAGGACGAGAAGTTCTTCAACAAGAAGAACGCGTAAATAAACTACTACTTTTTTGGGCAAAGGTGGCGCCTAGCGGACTGTTCTAGGTTGCCAGAGTTAAACCTCGATAAAATTTCTAGAAAATGATTAAAAAAAATTTTAAAAACATGACACCCTACTGTGAAATAATGTTTCAATCCAAATCGGATACAACAAATATATATGATGTGTCCGATTTAGATTTCCGTCCGATTTAGATTCAATCTAAATCGGACGTCCGATTAGATTGAACTACGCGGACGCCGATTTAGATTACAGTCATATCGGACGTCCGATTAGATTCAATCTAAATCTTATATAGATTGAAAAATAATATAAACATGCTTAATATATGTTCTTAAGCGTTTTCTGTAGTTTTTAACTTTAGTAGGACAATAGTAAGCATTCAATGGGAAAACAAGAAAACAAAAAATTCTCAAAAAAGACAATAAAATTTCTTTGAAAAGCGCAGAAAATTGCAAAAAACGCTTAAGAACATATATTAAGCACGTTATTATTGTTCGATCTGTTCGGACGTCCGATATAGACTGTAACAATAAAAGACCTTTGAAAATGCGAAAACACAGAAACGCTGAACATATATTAAGCCGTTATATTATTGTTCAATCTATATAGACGCCGATTTAGATTGACTAATGGACGTCCGATATAGACTGTAATCTAATCGGAGGAATCTATCGGACAACATATATATGCTTTATTCAGGAGGGCGAATAGAAGCGAATCAGATAATCATAACCGCATATAATTGCTATAATACTTTCACAAAAAAGAAAACTAAAAATAGTACAGTAAGACTACAGTTAGGAAACAAAAAGTACAAAAAGATTAAATATAAGGCAGATTTGACATGGCAATAAGATCTAATTCGTTTACAGATACTTTGAATTTTCCTACAGACGAGAAGATACCAGGCGGGAGCTTATTCCAAACCCTACTAATACGGTTCGCGAAAGAATCATAAAGGGAAAGGTAGTGGGGATGAGAACCGACCGAAATTTGATAAGGATGACTACCGGTTCTTCTAGGGCTTTCTACAATTTTCAAGAGACTTTGAAATTCCGGATGCGCCTTAGGGTGGAAAAGGATTTTATAGCAGAAAATCAGATCAAAGTAAATACGGCGATATAAAAGGGGTTTTAAATCAAAAACTATAAGTCTAGTCTCATAATTTGGAATAAGAGAAGAAGGGAAACAACGAGTGTATGCTTTTTTTTTTTAGTGAAACGCCATTGTACATTTTCAACCAAGGTGATAAGTTTCTTAATGGAAGGTGACCATACGATGGTGGCATACTCGAGCAGTAAATACATTAGTAAATGATTAATATAGCTTTTTACGTAGACAAAGCACTTTCGGTTTTAAAAATAAATAAAATCATTAAACTGCTTAGGTTTTACCAAGATCAAAATCACTTAAAGCTTGGGAGAAATCGTTTTTAAACTTTAACGCTTTAACACAAACTTTAAAAATCAGTCATTTGATGGAAATAAGTCCAATAAACTTTCTGAAAGGCCAGGGATTTTCAAACTTGAACCCTTGCATGAAAAGCAGTAATTATTGGGGGTTTAATTGTGTGTTCGGAGGCTGTTTTGTGCTAGATTTCTGGGCGATTGTAGAAAAGCTTTCGTCACACAAAGCCTTCCCGGCCTAAGCCTTCCCGGCCTAAGCCTTCCCGGCCTAAGCCTTCCCGGCCTAAGCCTTCCCGGCCTAAGCCTTCCCGGCCTAAGCCTTCCCGGCCTAAGCCTTCCCGGCCTAAGCCTTCCCGGCCTAAGCCTTCCCGGCCTAAGCCTTCCCGGCCTAAGCCTTCCCGGCCTAAGCCTTCCCGGCCTAAGCCTTCCCGGCCTAAGCCTTCCCGGCCTAAGCCTTCCCGGCCTAAGCCTTCCCGGCCTAAGCCTTCCCGGCCTAAGCCTTCCCGGCCTAAGCCTTCCCGGCCTAAGCCTTCCCGGCCTAAGCCTTCCCGGCCTAAGCCTTCCCGGCCTAAGCCTTCCCGGCCTAAGCCTTCCCGGCCTAAGCCTTCCCGGCCTAAGCCTTCCCGGCCCTAAGCCTTCCCGGCCTAAGCCTTCCCGGCCTAAGCCTTCCCGGCCTAAGCCTTCCCGGCCTAAGCCTTCCCGGCCTAAGCCTTCCCGGCCTAAGCCTTCCCGGCCTAAGCCTTCCCGGCCTAAGCCTTCCCGGCCTAAGCCTTCCCGGCCTAAGCCTTCCCGGCCTAAGCCTTCCCGGCCCTAAGCCTTCCCGGCCTAAGCCTTCCCGGCCTAAGCCTTCCCGGCCTAAGCCTTCCCGGCCTAAGCCTTCCCGGCCTAAGCCTTCCCGGCCTAAGCCTTCCCGGCCTAAGCCTTCCCGGCCTAAGCCTTCCCGGCCTAAGCCTTCCCGGCCTAAGCCTTCCCGGCCTAAGCCTTCCCGGCCTAAGCCTTCCCGGCCTAAGCCTTCCCGAAAATACACAAGGCCTCTGATTTGGGGAACATTTTTCGCTCTTTCGATAAAAAACTCTCCTAATAAAAACAGTCGAATACGATCATTCAAATCATATGAAATTTAGGCGAGCTGCTCGAACGTTACGTATTGGATTGGTGAATTGAAAATTGGCTAGAGAAGCCAAAAAAATGGTCAATTTTTTTTTGTCTTTTATTTAGTCGTTTCAAAAATTTGCAATTGGAAGACAGCTTATAGTTAGAGAAATTTTGGTAAATATTTTTTTCGCAAACATTTTGAACTTTCATATTCATAGGGTTTCTATAAAGATGATTAAGTTTTTGAACGAGATTGTCTATGAAGTCCTGCCTCACCCACTGTATTCGCCTGATGTATCACCCATGGATTACCATCTTTTCAAGCAGCTAAGTTATGTAAATTTGTTCTTGATGGATCCTGATCCTGAGCCTGATCCTGAGCCTAAGCTTGAACCTGAACCTGGTTCTGAGCCTGATACTGATCCTGAGCCTGATCCTGATCCTGATCCTGACCCTGATCCTGAGCCTGATCCTAAGCCTAAGCCTGAGCCTGAGCCTGGGCCTGATCCTGAGCCTGATCCTAAGCCTAAGCCTGAGCCTGAGCCTGTGCCTGAACCTAAGCCTGAACCTGAGCCTAAGCCTGAGCCTGAGCCTAAGCCTGATTCTGAGCCTAAGTCTGAACCTGATCCTGATCCTAAGCCTGATCCTAAGCCTAAGCCTGATCCTGATCCTGAGCCTGATCCTGAGCCTGATCCTAAGCCTGATCCTAAGCCTAAGCCTGAGCCTGAGCCTGCGCCTGAGCCTGATCCTAAGCCTGATCCTAAGCCTAAGCCTGCGCCTAAGCCTAAGCCTGATCCTAAGCTTAAGCCCCCCCCAAGTAACAATCGTGGCCTATTCTCACTAAAAAAATTCTAGAAAGTTCATTTATTTCGTGTTTACTTGTTAGATTTATTGCTAGAAATAATAAAAATAAATTGGCAAAATTAATTCGAATCTCGAAAATCCTTGAACCTTCTTTAGAGGTCAGCATCGACATTAATCGGCAGACCCCCTAAATTAACTAAATTCCAATTTTTAGGCTGTCAGAATTAGGTAACTTTTTAGTGGCTATTCGCCACAGTAATAAAGCAAAAAAAAATGGCTTTGTACTGAATGTGTTGGAAAGATAATTTTAAATAGATTTTTGTCTCGTAAATCAGTCGCTCACTGCTCACTGCGCAGTCTTCAAAATCAATAAAAAATCAAGCACATCACATTTCTTTTCTTTTGCCATTTCGTCAACTTTATACAGTATTATATTGTAGTATTATATTGTAGTATTATTTTTTGTAACTCATTTGTAAAATACAACTCAGTCACGAGAAGTTTTATTCATTAAAGAAAACGAGTTTCATTTCATCCAATCAAACATTGCAAGTTTAGACCGTTACTGATACAAGTTTGGTAGGCCACACGAGCACCCTGAAATCGGTTTCAATCTTTTGTTGTGAATACGTTTTTTTTTTCATTTTCATTATAAAATGCTTACATTGTACTTTGCAAGGTTTATTGTGGTTCGAGGTGATGGCGTTGTGTTACACGCTCCATAGATAATGTTCTGTTGCCATTTGCTTCCGCAGTAAGTCTTCTTTGCGAGTATATTTCCATGCTAAAGTCTTTGAAATTTGCTTGTTTTTGTTTTAGGTTTGTTTTGGGTTTGTTCTTGGTTTGTTCTTGGTTTGTTCTTGGTTTGTTCTTGGTTTGTTCTTGGTTTGTTTTTGGTTTGTTTTTGGTTAGGTTTGTTTTGGGTTTGTTCTTGTTTTGTTCTTGGTTTGTTTTAGGTTTGTTTTGGGTTTGTTCTTGTTTTGTTTTTGGTTTGTTTTTGGTTTGTTTTTGTTTATTTTTGTTTGTTTTTGGTTAGATTTGTTTTGTTTTTGTTTCTGTTTTGTTTTTAATTTGTTTTTGGTTTGTTTTTGGTTTGTTTTGTTTGGTTTTTGGTTAGTTTTTGGCCTGTTTTTGGTTAGGTTTGTTTTGGGTTTGTTCTTGGTTTGTTTTTGGTTAGTTTTGGTTTGTTCTTGGTTTGTTTTTGGTTTGTTTTTGGTTAGGTTTGTTTTGGGTTTGTTCTTGTTTTGTTCTTGGTTTGTTTTTGGTTTGTTTTTGGTTTGTTTTTGGTTTGTTCTTGTTTTTGGTTAGGTTTGTTCTTGGTTTGTTCTTGGTTTGTTCTTGGTTTGTTCTTGGTTTGTTCTTGGTTTGTTCTTGGTTTGTTCTTGGTTTGTTTTTGGTTTGTTCTTGGTTTGTTCTTGGTTTTGTTTTGTTTTTGGTTTGTTCTTGGTTTGTTCTTGGTTTGTTTTTGGTTTGTTTTTGGTTAGGTTTGTTTTGGGTTTGTTCTTGTTTTGTTCTTGGTTTGTTTTTGGTTTGTTTTTGGTTTGTTCTTGGTTTGTTCTTGGTTTTGTTTTGTTTTTGGTTTGTTCTTGGTTTGTTCTTGGTTTGTTCTTGGTTTGTTTTGGTTTGTTTTGGTTTGTTTTTGGTTTGTTTTTGTTTTGTTTTTGGTTAGATTTGTTCTTGTTTTGTTTCTGTTTTGTTTTTAGTTTGTTTTTAGTTTGTTTTTGGTTTGTTTTTGGTTAGGTTTGTTTTGGTTTGTTTTTGGTTTGTTCTTGGTTTGTTCTTGGTTTGTTCTTGTTTTGTTTTTGTTTGTTTTTGTTTCTGTTTTGTTCTTGGTTTGTTTTTGGCTTGTTTTTGGTTAGTTTTTGGTTAGGTTTGTTCTTGGTTTGTTCTTGGTTAGTTTTGGTTAGTTTTGGTTTGTTTTTGGTTTCTTTCTTGAAGTTTTTGAAACCACAGAATTTGCTTATTTCAAAGAAATGAAAGTTTACATCATCGTAAATAGCGCTGGTCATATAGCTGGCATTTTGTATTGCATTCAATGGTCGACACCACCATATGTAAGATGTCGGCGAGCACGTACCACTGAAAGCTCGAAGTTTTTTTGAGTGGCTTATTAAAGTTATCAAAATAATAAAAAAGTGTTAAAGTTTCTACACTTAATTTTTATGAACACTAATTTGCATGACTAGTTAAGGACTAGTTGAGGACTAGTTAAGGACTAGTTAAGGACTAGTTAAGGACTAGTTAAGGACAAATAAACTTCTCTACCTTACTCCCTGTGGAAATGTCGGAACAGGCTTGGGTGGAAAAGATTGGATGGCTTGTGTGCACGAACAATCGGGAACTGAAAACAAAGTTGGCTTTTGTTTAATTTTCGGGACTTTTAAATGTTTTCCTTAATTTTCTATGAATTAAATAAAACAATTTATGGTTAATTTATGGTTAACAACATCGATTTTGACTGACAGTTTACACTGTTGGCATTTTTCTTTCCTTCTGATTCTCTCTTCAGATTCTTCCGATAAGATAAGCGTACAGAAAAAGATAAGTGTACAGATAAGCGTACAGCCGTTTAGGCTTGACATTTGTGTCAATAGATGGCGCCAAAAAATGAGATTTCTTGGCATTTTTATTGTTTATTTGATTTCATTTGTTATTCTTGCTGGTCGTGCATTAAGGCTAATCATCTTACCATAAGAAATTTCAGTGATTTGAGACATCTGGAACTAGGTCAAGAGCCAGGTCAGGAGCCAGGTCAAGAGCCAGGTCCAGAGCCAGGTCAAGAGCCAGGACAGGAGCCAGGTCAAGAGCCAGGTCAGGAGCCAGGTCCAGAGCCAGGTCAAGAGCCAGGACAGGAGCCAGGTCAAGAGCCAGGTCCAGACCTGCCTTCTGGCTGTTCTTGGTACTTTGGTAATCTTACTGACGCTACCCTAGACACAATTTTTGGAGGAATGCATGAATCAGAGGAAGAAAACGATGGTGTGGTTCAATTTTCTGCCTGTTATTCTTTCATTGCCAACGAGCGCAATGGCAATGATGAGATTCAAAGGATGACTCTTATTAAGGAGAGTCAAGCAGATGGAGGAACCCTTGGACCTTGAACCTGGACTTGGAGGAACCCTTGGACCTTGAGCCTGGACTTGGAGGGACCCTAAGTGTTCTAGTATTTTTATAAACTCAAAAACCTCAAACATACAAGCCTAAAATAAAAAGGTGAGAATCATCAAAAGTCCCGAAAATTACCTAAGAGCCAAAAAGTTTTCGCTTGAAAAGTTTTCCCTACGTTTTTTTGTTGTTGTTGGTCGGGTGGTCGTTCTTGTCGTTGCTTTCATTGTGGTTTTTGTCGTAGTTTTTCGAGTTGTTGTTGTAGTTCTGGTAGTGGGTTTTGTGGTAGTTGTGGTGGTGGTTCTAGTTGTGGTTGTTGGTTTTGTAGTGGTTTTTGTGGTTGGTTTTGTAGTGGTTTTTATGGTTGGTTTTGTTGTAGTTTTGATGGTTGGTTTTGTCGTTGTTGTCGTCGTTGTTGTCCTCGTTGTTGTTTTCGTTGTTGTCGTTGTTGTAGTCGTTGTTGTTGCCGTTGTTGTAGTCGTTGTTGTTGTAGTCGTTGTCGTTGTCGTTGTTGTCGTTGTCGTTGTTGTAGTTGTAGTTGTTGTGGCGATTGTAGTAGACGTAGTAGATGTAGTACTGCCTGATATCTTCTAATTACAAGTTCAAAATCAACTAACTTACAATCAGTGATCGATGAGAGATCCGTTGAGCTTGATGTATCATTCCAAAGATTCGAAGGAGTTGGCAAACAAAGGTAGACTTTCTGGAAAATATCAAGTCTTACAATTCATTTTGAACAGTACTTGAGCTATGACAAGCGTTCTCTTGATTCCATCAACATCGTCACAACAAGTTTGCAAAGGAAAAACGCAGATTGTTGGATTGCATCGACGCCAACGCCATGACGATTCGCTGGAAGTATTAGATTCGTGTTTAAGAATATTAGATTCGTCTTTAGTAAATGTTTAAAGTTGGCAATTTAAGTGTAAGTAATTTCTCAAAAAAAATAAACTATAATTTATTCAAAATAAACCACGATTATTAAGTATAACTTATTGCCATTTATTGGGCAAAGCGTTGATTCCTTTCTTCCAAAAGCTACAGGGCTGCCGCTTGAAGGAACCGATCCATTTTTCGACTTCCTCCAAATCTCCAAAGTCTCCAAAATCAACAGCCATCTCCTTGAAAAGATGAAAATCACTAGGGGCCAAGTCAGGCAAGTAAAGCGCATGCAGGAGAACTTTCAGGTGTTTGGAGTGACCTAAAGACCTGACCAGCCTAAAGTCTTCAGTTTTGGTCAAGTTTGCAATGTCGAGCCGTGCGTTATCATGCTGCAACATCCTTACCAATGTTTGGCCTCTTTTTTTCACTTCAGAAGCGACTCGATCCAATTGATCATCGTATAAGGAACCCTTGATAGTCGTGCCTTTAGTCGTGCCTTTAGTCGTGCCTTCTTCTAGCAACTCCCAAATAACTCCTTCCCTGTCCCACCAAACATATAACATGATCTTCTTCTGGTGAATTTCGGATTTGGGGTCGGGCTTTGGTTTTTCGTCTGGAGCAACCTTTGCAATCTAACAATCTGCGTTTTTCCTTTGCAAACTATTGTTTATGTCTTCGAAAGTTGACAAAGGTTACCCATTTTTCATGGCCTATTATCAAGGGGGAAAAAAGATCGACGGTAATAATGCGAGAGTAGAGCGGCTGATACAGCCTTTGCCATTTTGACACATTAGTCAATGCATGTGGGACCCACGACCCGAATCTTAATTTGTAGCCCATCGATTGAAGATGACGGTCAACTATGGTATGAGCATACTGAAGTTGCTAACTCACGGGCTGATTGTTTGTTGTCAGAAGATTATACCATAAGAATCATATCGTTTTTCAGAAGGCAGAAGAGTGGATTTATCAAGACCAGTCGGTCGCCGTGACCTCGGCTGATCTTCAAGAGAGAAGTCGTTCTTTTGAAAGCAATGATACCAAATGTAGATCCAATTGTAGCTCCAATTGTAGATCCAATTGTAGATCCAATTGTAGATCCAATTGTAGATCCAATTGTAGATCAAATTGTAGATTTGTAGATCCAATTGTAGATCCAATTGTAGATCCAATTGTAGATCCAATTGTAGATCCAATTGTAGATCTAATTGTAGATCCAATGGCTTGGATTTATCAGGACCAGTCGGTCGCCGTGACCTCGGCTGATCTTCAAGAGAGAAGTCGTTCTTTTGAAAGCAATGATACCAAATGTAGATCCAAATGTAGATCCAATTGTAGATCCAATTGTAGATCCAATTTTACATCGCATAGTCACCGTTCCTTGCCCGTAAAAATCGTTAATTTCCTTTTCAGCGAAGGGGGAACTTTTGGCGAAGGACACGTGGTTTGTAAAATATTAGGTTGGCAAAAAAGAAATGAGCGTTGTGTTTGTTGATTTGTATTTTATTCACAGTAAAAGATTTTTTAAAATAGTTTATTCTATTGGAAAGAGCGTGTTCTTGCGCATCGTTTGATATATAATTTTTCTATGTTGACTTTGTTTTTTTACAAGAAAGAGTGTTTAGAAAATGTCGGACCAAAAATTTCGCTTGCGGGCCTGGTTGTGATATGAATTTAAGCAAGGCAAATCGGCTGCTGAAGCTCATCGCGCTCTATCTCAAGTGTTTGACGAAGATGTTCTATCTGAAAGTCAGTGTAAACGATGGTTCCAGCGCTTCCGAGACGGCGACGAAAGCTTGGAAGACCAAAAACACGGGAGTCGACCTCAAGTCATCGAGAACGACGCATTGAAGGAAGCCATTGAGTCGGATCCACGCCAAACCACTCGCGACCTGGCAGAACAGTTCGGCTGCACTCATGCCACCATTGAGAACCATCTGCATGGGATGGGCAAGACGAATAGATGCGTAAAATGGGTACCGCATAAGCTATCCGCCGCAAACAAGGCGACACGCATCGCAATCGCCGGAATTCTCGCTCACCGCGCCAAGAACAGTGGGTTTTTCGACTCCATTGTTACGTCGGATGAGAAGTGGATCCAATACGACAACGCAGCAAGAAAGCGGCAGTGGTTGGACCCCGGTGAAGCTCCAAAACCGACTACAAAACCGGACATCCACGGAAAAAAGGTGATGCTTTGTGTTTGGTGGAGCAGTAAAGGCCTGGTGTACTTTGAGGTTCTGGATTCGGGTCAAACAGTTACGGCGAACCTCTACCAAGGCCAATTGGACCGCGTGGACCAGGCGCTGCGACGTCAAGGTGTGGATACGGCGTCGACAAAATTCCTTCACGACAACGCTCGGCCGCATGTCGCAAAAAACACCCAGCAGAAAATTGAAGAAATGGGCTGGGAAGTCCTGCCTCATCCGCCATACAGCCCAGACTTGGCGCCTTCCGACTACCATCTGTTCCGATCAATGCACCACTCCTTGGCCGAGAAAAAGTTCAAGAACGGCGACGAGGTCCAAATTTGGGTGTCCAACTTCTTCGAGTCGCAGCCGGTCGAGTTCTTCAAGAAGGGCATCCATTCTCTGCGTGAACGTTGGCGACAAGTCATTGATGCAGATGGCGAATACCTTTTGGATTAATGTATTAGGTTGGTGCAAAAGAAATTTCGGTCGATATAAAATGTTCCTATTTTTTTAATCTGAAGAGCTTATTTGATGTTCTTTTGTGCATTTGTACTTTTGGATATTTACTTTATTTTCGCATTTTTTCAAAGTCAGAGCTTTCACTTTTTAATTGATTTTTGCTTTAGATCATGGTGGATCAAAAGTATGTTCTGCGCACGTGTCTTCTCTATGACTTCAAAATGGGCAAAAAAGGCCTGCTGATTCACATCGTGATCTCTGTTCCGCCTTTGGAGAACAGGTTATCACCGAAAGATCATGCCAGCTCTGGTTTGCCCAATTCCGAGATGGTAATGAATCCCTTGAAGACGAATCGCATGGACATCGTGCCACAGCCATCGACAACAATGAATTGGAACAATTAATTGAAGCTGATCCAATGCAAACAACACGAGAACTTGCCAAACATCTCCAATTCAACAATTGTACGCCATTTGGAAATAATTGGAAAGACAAATCGTAATGGACAATGGGTTCCACATCAATTGAGTGTTGAGAATCTGGGAGCACGCGTTCCGATCAGCCATATCTTGCTCCAGAAGTCGAAAAGAAGCCATTTTTTTTGAGAATATCTTGACGATGGATGAGAAGTGGATTCACTTTGATAATACTTCTCGAAAAAGACAATGGCTGAGCAAAGGCCAAGCGCCAATTCCAACTCCAAAGCCGGATTATCATGGGCGCAAAGTGATGTTGTCTTGCTGGTGGAATATCAATGGACTTGTTCATTTTGAATTATTAGAGCCCGGAAAAACAGTCGATTCATCTTATTTTATTCAACAACTCAAGAAGGTTGACGAAAAATTTTGCGTGAAAAAGGCCTAAATCCCTCAACTATCAGCTTTCTCCGTGATAATGCTCCAGCTCACACGGCAAAAACCTCTTGTAAGGAACTAGAGAAGCTAGGATGGAAGGTCTTACCACATGCGCCGTATAGTCCAGACTTAGCACCCTCCGATTTTCACCTTTTCAGATCGATGCAACATTCCCTTGAGAATTGCCAGTTTAAGAATGCAAAAGAAGTCGAAAATTGGGTGACCAACTACTTTGCATCACAGAATCAAGCGTTCTTTGAGAAGGGGATCCGCAATCTGTAGCAACGTTGGAGGGATGTCATAGATAATAATGGTGCTTATTGTTTTAAATAAATTGTTATCAAAAAAAATTTTGGATGACATTAATGTTTGTAAAAAAACGAAATTTCATTTGCACCAACCTAGTATTGTTATCTTGTTTTTATAATAAAATAAACTTTTAACGAAAACGCGCATTTCTTTTTCGCCAACCTAATAAAATAGAATGACATGTCGAAAATGTAGATAGATTTTCGGTAATTCCAAGATAAGTCCCAAAAATAAAAAAGACTGAAGCAGTATTGTAAAGACAGTGAAGACAAAAATTGTACAGAAAGACAAAAAATATTGTAAAGGCTTTTGCAAAAACCTTATAGTTGTGGATAAATGCAAATTTTTAACATTAATAAACTGAGAATAAAAACAAACGTGCAAGGACATCCGAGCGGTTCTGAGAGACATGTTCTTTCTTGAAGTTGCACTTGACATGAGCCACAACCAAGCGGAGATGATGTGGCTTCCTCAAAAGAAAGATTAGAATACGTGCGACTGAAAGATGGCATTAGAGGACACGTGGATGTGTTCTGCCAGTCACTCCAAACACCTGAAAGATGGTTCTGTTCTTGGAAAACCGTCAGAAAGGCCTTACCACCACTCGGACAATCACAAACCGGTTGTACATCTAAAAAACCTTTTTTTGTAATAGATAAAATTTAGTAATACTGCAAAACGGATTGTTCTCATTTGGATCGACGATAACCGGTGGGTCGGACGGTTGAGGTGAAGAAGGGACACATTGACCATCGACTAGACTAAAATAGTTCATTAGATGAGGTTTAAAATTATAAAACTCAATTCTTTCAAGACCTTCTGGACGATCTGTTAACATCCACAATTTATACTACCGTATTTACTCTATTAGAACTGCAATATCTCATAGTACTGCAGCCTCTAATTGTACTGCGCCTTTAGTAGTACTGCAGCCTCTAATAGTACTGCAGCCTCTAATAGTACTACGTCTCTAGTAGTACTGCAGCCTCTAATAGTACTGCGCCTCTAGTAGTACTGCAGCCTCTAATAGTACTGCAGCCTCTAATTGTACTGCGCCTTTAGTAGTACTGCAGCCTCTAATAGTACTGCAGCCTCTAATAGTACTACGTCTCTAGTAGTACTGCAGCCTCTAATAGTACTGCGCCTCTAGTAGTACTGCAGCCTCTAATAGTACTGCAGCCTCTAATTGTACTGCGCCTCTAGTAGTACTGCAGCCTCTAATAGTACTGCGCCTCTAATAGTACTGCAGCCTCTAATAGTACTACGTCTCTAATAGTACTGCAGCCTCTAATAGTACTGCAGTCTCATAGTACTACGTCTCTAATATCAGGTTGGCAACTAAATAATGGCCCTTTTCAGTAAAAACAAAAAATTTATTAACAAGATGAACAAATATCAACATCAATCCAAAAGGTATTCTCCGTCATTCTTTATTACTTCTTTCCACTTTTTAGGCGCAACTGGATTCCTCTCTTGAAAAATTCTTCTGGTTGATCGTCAAAGAACTTGTGCTCTGAAATTCGGACTTCGTCAAGGTCATTGAACTTTTTCTCGGCTAGAAAGTGTTGCATCGATCGAAAAAAGAGGTAATCACTAGGCCCCATATCCGGGCTGTATGGCGCATGAGGAAGAACATTCCAGCCCAACTCCTCGATTCTCCAATGGAAGTTTTGCCGTGTGTGGTTTTGCGTACCCAGGGGAAAATGAATTGAAAAAGGGTTCGAGTCCTGGGGAGGGAATTGCTTGATCTACACGATGTAGTAGAGACGAATAGAGTTCTGAATTAACCGTTTGCGGGCTTTTAAGAACCTCGAAATGCACCAAACCACGAGAACTCCACCACACACAGAGGAGAGTTTTCTTTGAGTGAATATCCGGCTTCGGAGTTGGTTTTGGGTCTTCGTTTGTGCTAAGCCACTGTAGTTTTCGCGTTCGATTATCATAAAAGATCCATTTTTCATTAGAAGTGACAATGGAATCCAAGAAGCTTCCCTTTTCGCAAGTTTTAGTAGTATTCCAGCTGTGATAACACGAGTAGCCCTATTTTCTTCGCTCAATTCATCGGGATCCACTTTCCACTGCGTTGCTTTTCCCCATATGCACGACGTCGCTTTTTCGTTTGCACTATGCGAAAAGCCCAATCGATCCCCTAGCTCGCGTGATTTTGTTTGACTTGGATCCTACTTTAAAGCTGCCTTCCAAAATATCGTTCTGCAGAAGTTCGGGTCGTCCTTGGCAAGGCTCATCTTCAAGACTTTCATCCCCTTCCTTGAACCGTCGATACCATCTCTTACATTGTGTTTCGGAAAGAGCCCTCATCACCAAAACTCGCAATAAATCTCTGGGGGATTCGGCAGCTGTTTTGTCTTGTTTGTAGTCGTACTAGAGACAGACACGCATTCGATATTTGAGATCTTCCATTTCTAAACAAAATTATTTGAAAAGTATCAAATCAAGGAAAGTAAAAAACGTATAATAATGCACCAGAAATTCAGTAATATTCAATTAACAACAAGCGAGGGTAGATTAAACGCAAAGATTAAAAGATTTTATCAAAAAGGGGGGCGTCCATTATATAAGTTGCCAACCTAATAGTACTGCAGCCTCTAATAGCACTGCAGTCTCTCATAGTACTGCAATCTCTAATAGTACTGCATTCTCTAATGGTAAAGGATGAGCTTGAGAAAAGGGCCGGGGCAAAAAGGAAAAGATCGATCATTTTACAAGCATTGAATGGCAAATGGACCAAAACTCAAAATGGAAACCCGGCTCCTCCACCAATGAAAACATATCTCGATTGGGTCTGGACGGCTTGGAGTGAGTCGCCAAGGAACATGATCATTCATTCTTTCAAAAATTGTGCAATTACGATGATTTGGATGGATCGGAAGATGTTCTCATTCAATGTTTCAAGAAAGATGGTCCAATTCCAGATGGAGCAAAACAACTGGCCGAAGCTTGACTTGACAAGCCTGATAATTGAGCTTGACAATTGAGCTGACAGCTTGACAAGCCGTCAATTGAGTAAATGATCGTGTTGGAAACATTGCTTTGGATGGTTCTGATGTTTCAGTCTTTGATCGATAACTGCTGCTGGCTGTTATCTACTTTTTATCTTTGCTGTTATTTTAATAAAATTATATAAAATTATAACGTTTTTAAGTTTTTACATGAAGTTTGATTGATTTAGTAAGTATCTATTCGCTTTTTTTGGTCGAAAAAATAGCACTGCGAAGTACTAATAGAGTAAATAAGGTAATTTACAAATTACACACTCAAATCCATCTTGACAAATGATCGTTGGGTATCGGTCATCGTTACACGCAGCTGCTTCACCGCAAGCAATCGTTCGAAAAGCGTCACCACTGAAAAGTCTTTGGGTTTTTTGCATTCTTTAAAATTTGTGTGTTTTTGTTTTTTTCCTTTACGTCATTTAGTGAAAGATGAAAACTATAACTAGAATTTTAGGATTGCAGGAGAACGAGATCTGGAACGAAAGGGAACCAAATCTTTGAAGAAAAGGAACCAAATCTTTGAAGAAAAGGAACCAAATCTGTAGAGAAAGGGAACCAAATCTTTGGAGAAAAGGAACCAAATCTTTGGAGAAAAGGAACCAAATCTGTAGAGAAAGGGAACCAAATCTGTAGAGAAAGGGAACCAAATCTGTAGAGAAAGGGAACCAAATCTGTAGAGAAAGAGGAACCAAATCTGTAGAGAAAGGGAACCAAATCTGTAGAGAAAGGGAACCAAATCTGTAGAGAAAGGGAACCAAATCTGTAGAGAAAGGGAACCAAATCTTTGGAGAAAAGGAACCAAATCTGTAGAGAAAGGGAACCAAATCTGTAGAGAAAGGGAACCAAATCTGTAGAGAAAGGGAACCAAATCTGTAGAGAAAGGGAACCAAATCTGTAGAGAAAAGGGAACCAAATCTGTAGAGAAAGGGAACCAAATCTGTAGAGAAAGGGAACCAAATCTGTAGAGAAAAGGAACCAAATCTGTAGAGAAAAGGAAAGCAACCAAATCCGTAGAGCCTAGTTTACAGGCCTAGTTTACCTGGCTTAGGTTGCAGGTCTAGTTTACCTAGCCTAGCCAAATCTTTGAAGAAAAGGAACCAAACCTGTAGCGAAAAGGATAAAATCTCTGAAACTCTGTAGAGAAGGAACCAAATCCCTCGAGAGAAGCAAAATTTTTTTCTCCGATAAAATTTTAGGATTACAGGGTGATCAAGAATTACTGCAACAACGTCGTATTATGTTATGAGCCCCATTTCACCTTTTGCTTACCTGATTTAATGGTTTTTGTTTATTTTTCTTATTTTATGGTATGTTTACTAACTTTCAATACATTAGTATCGTTGTTTTCAGGAATGGTGAAAGCGTTTCCACATTGACAATCGATCCTTGAGCTCAAGACAATCGATCCTTGGGCAGCGTGTTCAGGCGAGCGAGATCTCAAAGCGCCTGAATCTCCCCAGAAGCCGCGTTTCTCGAACCATTCAACGTTATGCAACTCTGGGCACAGTTTCTGATCGATCCAGGGATCTGATCGCCCTGGAAGAGGTGCAAAACGAACAGCGGTTACTCCGGCTAATGTCAAGAAAGTGCGCGATCGTCTAAGATTAAACCCTAACCAATCGGCTCGAGGAATGGCACAGAAAATGGGTCTGAAGAGAAGCTCCGTCAACACAATCATCAAGAAAGAGCTGAAAATGAAGCCGTACAAGAAGAATAAATCTCAAATACTATCAGCTGCTGTGAAGGGCAAGCGAAAAGACCGATGTGCCCAACTTTTGCAACGGTTCAACGAAATCAATCACCACAACATCCCGCTCACCGATGAAAAGATATTTACCGTCGAGGGAATTCTCAACAAGCAAAATGATCGAGTTTGGGCAAAATCTCAGCCGAACGTCACCGTATCGCGCAGTTCTCATCCTGCATCGGTGGTGATTTTTGCCGGGATAACCGCCAATGGAAAGACCCCATTGATCTTTGTTCTTCAAGGTGTGAACGTAAATGCGGTCAATTATTTGGACTTGCTAAAGAAGGAGGTTGTTCCGTGGGATCAACGCCACTTCAAAAATCAAATTTGGACTCATCAACAAGATGGTGCGCCGGCTCACAAGGCAAAGAAAGTGCAAGAGTTTTGTTCAAAGACCTTCCCGGACTTCATCTCGGACTGTCGTCGACATTCTGAGTGGCCACCCAGCTCACCCGATCTTAACCCATTGGATTACTCAGTTTGGAATGTTCTTGAAGCCAGAGCATGTGCAAAACTACATAAAAATATCGAAAGTTTGAAGAAGGCGCTGATCAGCTTTGATGAGCTTCGATGATGCCTATTTGCTCGATAACGCGTTTCCCAAACGTTTGCAGGCCGGTCTGAATGCCGATGGAGGCAAAATTTGAATTTAATTGTTAATTTGTTACTGTTATTTGTTGAATAAAGATATTTAAGTTAACTTTTCGAGATGCGTTGCATATTTGGTTAAAAGCTAAGCCTTTTGTGTGTTGCGGTAATTCTTGGTCACCCTGTAGAGTGAAGATAGATCATTTTCCTTGCACAAAAACCCTTTACTTTCCCCCAACCTGCACGGACATCCCCTTTTTGCTGAAAGACATATCCGTCCTTGAATCTGACGTCCATAGAAGCCACAAGTGAAGTTGGCTTGTACTCTCGTTGTGGTGTTTGCA